CTGGTGGAGCAGGCAATTAATTAGTATGTTATGGTCCTGGATATATGTGTAAAAAGAAAGAAAGAAAACCACTTTAACATTTGATACTCCCTCTTCTACCTACTAGGAATATTCCTGTGCCAAAGATTATCTGATTTTGGCAGGACATGTTGTTTAGAGAAGTGGCTCTCACACTTTTTTTCTGCTCCAATACATTTGACAAATAATATTCAAATGCTCAGTATACTCCTGGGCACGATTTCTAGCATACATGTTGTAACTTCACCCCTTTGTCTCCCACACAGCCAAGAACATCTGAAGGGAGGTAAGAAAAAGCAGCGTATTAGAGAGATAAACTTAAATCATGTTTATTTTTCATTGGATAAAACATTCCACAGATTTTGCATGATATTATTTGGTGAAAAATCATCAAGATTGAAAAACACTGCTTTGGAGGAAAGTAGTTATTCTTCTCATTGGAAAATAATTACTGAGAACCTTTTGATACACAGCACAGATCTGTGTTGCGACCCAATATGTGGTTGGTCATAAAAAAGCTACTTTTGTTATAACTTTTAGGCTGAACACAAACTTACAGGTCCATGATTAAGCATTATACCTTTCTTACTCTAATAAACAGGTAGTTTATTGGTTATTCAAAATCCCAAACCTATTTATTCTCCAATGAAGTCACTGATATAATACCGAGAATCGGGTATCTGACTATACTTTGGCTCCCCACTGGCAGCCATTCTTGTCTCTAGCCCCTAATCGTGGGTACTTTTGCCAGCTTAGAATTAAGGTTGTTTGGGAGAAATAGGGAAAGAGTAAGGAGAGGACCAGCCATCTTCTGAAGGAAAAGAGGCAATGTTTTTTAGGCACCTCTACTGGACCCATACAAAATTCTTTGCCCAAACTTAAGAAGAGCTGTAAATATAAAAAAAGACACCCCTACGATACTTGAGGGATATTCCCTGACATAAGAATGCTGGCTAATGTCATGGGTCCTTCCCAAATCCCGGTAGTTAAATCAATTTGTGGCCCTCATATTTTCAAGGGATAGATGCAGGTGAATAGAAATGGCTAAACAACCTAAAAATCTTTCTGCAGTTACCTGGAGAATTAAGAGCAAGAAACCAATATCAACTTTAGGGTTTAGTATGGTTGTAAATAATCCTCCCAAATGGACACTCTAGAGGGATTTTACCCCTTTTGTGTTCAAAATTCAATTTTTTCCATTCTATATTAAAATGTGTCCCTTTTTCAGTATAAAAACTGGTGCTAACCTAAAGGTGCTTTACAGAGTTTACTACTTTGTAGTAATGCAATGCCATATGTCATATAGGATTAAAATATTTATAAAAGATTTATAATTTTTGATAAAGGAAAAAAAATTTTTTTTTTATTTGACAGATCATAAGTAGGCAGAGAGGCAAGCAGAGAGAGACAGGAGGAGGAGTCAGGCAGAGAGAGACAGGAGGAGGAGGCAGGCTCCCTGCTGAGCAGAGAGCCCGATGCGGGACTCGATCCCAGGACCCTGAGATCATGACCTGAGCCGAAGGCAGAGGCTTTAACCACTGAGCCACCCAGGCGCCCAAAGGAAAAATTTTTATATAGCATTTGTACCTAGAGAAATAAAGTCTTTGGGGGTAAGGTATATATACTTGCCCAAGGGCTTGGGGAAAATATAACATAAAATAAAATATAGAGAGAGATATAAAGTCTTTGAGGGTAAGGTATATATACTTGCACAAGGGCTTGGGGAAAATGTGTGGTACAAATGAGAGAATATATTGTTACTGAAACTGTTTCTCATTTAACTACTGGTATCATTTAACTAGTGCTGTTGGAAGACACATTTTTAGATAGTAAATATTTTAGAGTAGCAGGTCTCTGTTGCAACTACCCAACTCACCCATTGTACTGAAAAACCAACCACAGACAATACATCAACAAATGGACATGACCGTATTCCAATAAAACTTTATTTACAAAAATAGGTAACTTGATATCTGAATTGTACTACATTTTCATGAAGCAACCTTTACTATAGGTAATAGTTACGTTAAAATGTGACTTTTTGGGCACCTGGGTGGCTCATTCAGTTAAGCGACTGCCTTTGGCTCAGGTCATGATCCCAGGATCCTGGGATCAGGTCCCGTGTCGGGCTCCCTGCTCAATGGGGAACCTGCTTCTCCCTCTCCCTCTGCCTGCCTCTCTGCCTACTTGTGCTCTTTCTCTCTCTGTCAAATAAATAAATAAATAATCTTTTAAAAGGTGTGACTTTTTAAAATGCAAGTGTTCAATGCAAATTCGTATATATAAGGCACGTAATTTTTCACCCTATGCAAAAAAAAAAAAAGAGTAGATCTACCATATTCACTGATGTAGTTAGTGGTCACTTTTTCTCTGTGTTGGTTGTGACAACCAGAAGTCACCTGAAACACAACTCTTTGTTGGAGAACCTGCAGCAATGTTCCCGATTTGCACAGAGGTGTCTACTATGTGGAAATGCTGAGAGTAAGGAGAGAGGTGCTCCAGGACTAGGCCATGGGGCAGTGTTCAAAGTCATTTGGTTCCCTCCCCCTACAGCCCACTCTCACTCATAAGTCTGTTGTTCTGATCGTGGATTTGTGAGGTGGTGTTTTGGGGGGACTTTCATCTACTTATTGTCCAGGTGATATCTTCTATATTCATGAAATCGAAAGTTGGTTAATGTGTCCTCAGTCCAGGTACATTTGCACTATACCTTGATGAAACTTCACAAAATATAAATGCCCTTCCAGTACAGAATTGGATTTTTTTCCTATTTACTAAATTTCTTGGACAATTCAATAGTGATTTTGAAGAGAAAATAATTAAATGGAAAAAGAAATCTAGTTAAATGAGTTCAGTGTTCATTGGCAGTTCTTTTATACCATGACTTCTCTTTGCTCTGTACTTTCAAGAATTTTCTCAAGACGAGAATACATGGTTGCAACAGAGTAAGCCTTGCATATCTTTTTTTTAAAGATTTTATTTATTTATTTGAGAGAGAGAGAGAGAATGAGCATGACAGAGGGAAGGTCAGAGAGAGAAACAACACCCCTTGCTGAGCAGGGAGCCCAATGCAGGACTTGATTCCAGGACTCCAGGATCATGACCTGAGCTGAAGGCAGTCGCTCAACCAGCTGAGCCACCCAGTCACCTAGCCCTGCATATCTTAAGAGTACTTTCTTTTTCCCTTTTTCCTTCCATTTAAAATATTTATCATGGACTATTTAAGTTATATTCTTGGTATTAGCCCCAGTTCCCAAGAAAACAGAGCCCAGGAAAAGCTTAAGTACCAATTATTTATAGAGAGGATGAAGGAAAAGGGAAGTGAGGTAGGAAAAGATGGAAAGTAATTACAGAGGCAGCCCAACTGTCACTTAGCCATGCAGGACATCTCTGAACAGGGAATACAGAAACAGTGTACTTTTGTAACAATCTATTAGAGAACAGAGATTTCATCTGCCTGTCTAGTACCCAGCCTCCAAGATGGTCCTTAACAATCTCATTTTTTATATATATATATTTATATTTATATAAATATAATATTTATAAATATATGCTTATATTATGCATAATATAAACATAATATATAATATAAACATATATAATCATATTATATATTATATATTATAAATATTATAGATATATCATATATAATTATATATAAAATATAAAAAATATAAATATTATTTGTATGTTCCCATGGGTTTTTTTTACAAAAATGAAAGGGTACTAGATATACTTGTTTCACTTACATGCAAGAGCATATATACTGATCTCATCCTTTTTAATGGTTGCATAGTATTTCATTGTGTGGCTCAATCATAATTTAATTAACCAGCCTCATGTTAAGTTGTTTCCACTCTTTCACTGTTACAAAGAATGATGCAGTAAACATCTTTACACATAAGTCTCTGTGAGTTTATCTATTAGATAAATTCATAGAAGAGGAAATGCTAGGTCAAGGGCTATGTGCATTTTACATTTACTATCCTTAATTGCACCCCAAAAGCTTGTTCCTTTTTATGTTCCAACCAGAAGTATGTAATAAAGCATTTTTCCCACATATTTCCTAATTGATTTTATAATCAAACTTTTTTTTCAATCTGAGAAAGATTTTCTTCTAGAAAATCACCTCAAAACAAAGAAGACACAATTGAAAACTGCACCTTAGGTGAAACTAGGAAATAGCTAGCTATAACCCAGAACTATGGTACATGAAAATGAAAGGTAGTTCAAAGAAATATCAGTGCTGTGGCTCAAAAAATATAGTCAAACCCAAGAGGTTCCAATTTCTTTTCAATTTGTTGATGCCATCAAACATCCAATCACTATCCATTCATCTCCATCATCCTCAGATAATGATATTTTAACCTAGAGATATCAACTCAGGATCATAAGATGGCAGCTCTAGATGTAAATATTACAGGAGTGCTTGCGTAGCTCAACTGGTTAAGCATCTGCCTTCAGCTTGGGTCATGATATGCAGGTCCTGGGATTGAGTCCCACACTGGACTCCCTGCTCAGTGGGAAGTCAGATTCTCCCTCTCCCTCTGCCCCTCCCCAACACCCCTCCCCCGCTCATGTGTGTGCACGCTCTCTTGCTCTCCCTCTCTCTCAAATAAAAAAGTAAAAATCTTTACATTAAAAAAAATAGATGTAAACATTACACCTGCACTTCTTATTCAAGACAGGAAGCAACGGGTCATGGGCTGGAGAAATAGAAGCAAGTTCTCATATCTTGTCTCTTTAATCCCAATGCAAATTCTTCCCCAGAAGTCCCCAGTAAATTTCATCATATATCGTATTAGGCAGAATTGGTCCATATGTCCATCTTTAAATACAAAGTAGTCTAGAAAATCCACCTCCAGTGACAGGTGATTCATCATCACAACGGCCTGCCCCAAGAGATCCAGGAGTCCATCCAGTTACTTCTGTCCCCCACTGATCAGTCAACTCTGTCCTAGAGCAGCACAGCCCTAGCCACAATGCATGATTCCCAACCTACAGCCCTGAAAGCCACTGGAGCCAGTGACCCATTCTCACCCATCACAGATCCAGTGTCAATCCCCATGCCATACTCGTTTGACCAGGCCAAGGCAATATTGCAGGGCCACATCAACTCCAAATGTGGGCAGATTCAGCAGGGCAAGGTCCCTGCTCGTGTATATAGCTCTTGGCAGTGCATAATTCCTGGGGGCCTGCAAGTGGCTCCCTTCACTTGCATCCCAGAAAACAAGCCCTTGGAGTTACAGGCAGCAACTGACCCTGCCCTACAGCAGAAAGCTATGCCCTGGATACCAATGGCCCTTGACCAACAGCAACAAGCCTCACCAGATGCTGTCACTGAACACCCTAAGCTGCCCCAAGCCCTGTCCGAGGGAGCCATTGAGAAACTAGAGACAACATTGCGGCACAAGTACCTGGCCTTCTTGTCAGGGCTGCCAGCTCTTTATTATGTGGCTCTCTCTAGGGCCATGGCACCGGCAATCTCTACCCAAGCTGTAATCACAGGAATGGTGCCTGGACCTGGTGAATTCCCAACTGAACCTCTGACTCAGATGATCTCATCTGAAGAGCAGTCTCTGAGTCCTGGGCCAAGCTTTCAAGATGCCAATGAGACTTGTGCAAACATTGAAGATGAGCTCCAGGTTGAAGAGCAGGTGGAAGAAATGATCAAGATGGTGCCTCTAGAAAGCCAGGCAGACATCAAAAGAAATGAAATCTTGCCATTTGCGACAACGTGGATGGAACTAGAGGGTATTATGCTTAGAGAAATAAGTCAATCGGAGAAAGATAGCTATCATATGATCTCCCTGATATGAGAAAGTGGAGATGCAACGTGGGGGATTTGGGGGGGTAGGAAAAGAATAAATGAAACAAGATGGGATCGGGAGGGAGACAAACCATAAGGGACTCTTAATCTCACAAAACAAACTGAGGGTTGCAGGGGGGGGAGGGGGGTTGGGAGAGGGTGGTGGGGTTATAGACATTGGGGAAGGTATGTGCTATGGTGAGTGCTGTGAAGTGTGTAAACCTGGTGATTCACAGATCTGTACCCCTGGGGCTAATAATACATTGTATGTTTATAAAAAATTTTATTAAAAAGAGATAAATAATTTTTTTTAAAAAGAAAACCAGGCAGAGACCTCTGGGCCCTACACACTCAAGAAACCCATCTTAGCCAAACTAAATTTTCATCTAAGAAAGAAGATCTTAGAGATACAACTGGGAATTCCCATAAAGGCAAGCCTATCCAGAGAACAAACAGTAGCAAACTCAGACAACACATCCACACAGGATTAGTCTAGAGAACCTAGGGAAAACATTGCTCCAGGATCTCCCCATCCCACCAGACACTCCTCGTGTCCCAGATCCAGAATGGCTCCACCTTAAAGAACAGCTGGCCCTTGAGTTAAAGGCGGTGCAGCAGAACCAGAAGAAACCTAGTTCAAGAGCAGTATCTCGTGGTTCTGCCCACTGGGCCTCTAAGATATCACAACCCAGTGGGGACATGACAGAGGCCCAGGTGCTTTGTGTTCAGTTGGAGACCAATGTGAACAGCCCCAGCCTGGAGGAGCCCTGGAGTCCTGAGTCCCAAAGCCCTGGTCACAGCAAGGACTCAGCCCAAGTCCCCATGCTGGCAGAAAAGAGGACCTAGGGAAACCCAAATTGGCAGGGGACCATGGAGAAGGAGATGCAGGGTTTGCACACGCCTCCACAAGAGACATAAGCCACCCTGATGAAGCCCAGAGGCCAGAAGGGATGCTTCTGAACAGGACTTCTCACAGCCCCTGGCGACAGAGCCGTAGCTTTCATCTTGATGCTCCCTGTGAACACAGTACCCGACATCACCCTCAGATTAAGCTTCCAGAGCCACCTCCAGGAATCCCTGGGGTGAAGGTATCTGAGAAGAATGACCTGCACAGCCGTCAAACCAAGCTTAATGTATTCCTCAAACCAGCAAGGATTCCTAAGAATGCCCAGCCTGTGGTGCCCCACGCATCACAGGGCCAGCTTTTCCTGGGCCAACTCATTCAGGGTAAGCCTTTGCAGGGCCAAACTTTGAAAGGTCAGGTATTGCAGGGACAGGTGATGCCAGTCCACACTCACAAGAGGCCCAGCCTTCCAGAATCAGGCTTGAGAAGTAAGATGAAATCCTTTCTGCACTGTTTTAACTCCAAGGCAAAAGGCAAAGTGCATGAAGAACCCATGTTCTCCACAGCTGGGAAAGTGGCCAACACCAGAAAAGAAAATGCAGAAAAGGGCCTGGCTCCAGCCAAAAGTTCCATGGGGCGAACCAAGACAGAGAGGACAAGAGGGGACTCCAAGGCCCAATCTTCCCCCACTGAGAAGCAGGAGGGCCTGGCCTTCTTGGATGGTCCCCATTCCCCTGACAGTAAGCTCCGGCACCGCTCCCGCTCTCACCAACTCCATTCTGCCTCAGTCCTGGGCCACGCCCGCCACTGCCCTCGGCACTGTCCTCGAGTGGCTTGTGCCACCCAACCAGGGAATGTACCCTAGATCTCACCTCCCACCTCAGAGGGAAATGCTGGTCTGCTCAAGAAGATCCAACACAATCAAAAGTCATTGTAGGCTCTCATCTGTGTCCCTTGAAGAGGATTGCTACTGTCATTTTCACTTATGGTGCAGGTGGGACAGAGTGCCACCCAAAATACACTCTATGTCTCTAAGCAAAGCACTGTCTGTCTCCTCCTTCTCTCCACTGTGGTGTGTTAAGGGAAGGCATTAGGGGAGGCTGAAGTGTCCTTCCCATCTAGAGAAGGAACTTTAATCCACTCTTAAGCTGGGTCAGCTTTCCACACAACTCCTCCCGGCCCACCCTGGACTGTGGATAAAGGGGCTTGAGCAAAGAAGGAAGGTAAGGTAAATAAAGGTCAGGCTTGAATTCTATCATGGCTTCCCATTGGTGTCTTTAGGCCCAGAGGAGCAATGTGGACATGAGGATAGTAGTGATGAGGAGGACTGGCCAGGAATCCCACAGGTAGAATCAATCATGGCTTCCATAGAGGCCCACAGTCTGAGGGGGAGGTTTTTAGAGGAGTGCAATAGTGCTCCAACCTTGAGGAGGTATATTGTGTTTATCAAAAACATGTAGCTAACATGACAGGATGTCAAAAGCAAATGATAGAATCTCCCCCTCCTCTGCTCCCTGTTGGTTATTGGCAAGATCTTTCTGGATAGCTCATCTGGGAAGCTGCTGTAACTCTCTTGCCTATATCCTGCCCACTGCCTGCCAGCTGCATGGACTCTTGGAATGAAGATCAGAGTAGGTCATGAAAAGGGACTTGTCCCCCACTCCCAAGGGCAAGCAGGGAGAGAATCAGGGAGGGGGAGCATGTGGATGGGAGATCAGAGTACCTGGGACAGAGGCTGACTATTCTGGCCAGGGTATGATAAGGAAGCAAAGCCAATTTACTTTGCACTCAAAAGAGCCTGGAGCCAGGAAGCCAACCCAAGGTTCAAATGCTCTTTGGGGGAAGTGAGTGAGTAAATCTGAGCTTCAATCTGCTTGCCCATGGTATAATAAAGAGCAACGACTGAGCCTTGTTATCCAAAGGTAATACAAATAAATTCAAAATCAGAACACTCTCCCTGTACCCTACCAAACTGGGACCCAATGTCTTGTAATGGTGTAACTAGAAGCACATTGTTTGCTTAGCCCAAATATGAAGTTAGTCACTGAGTTCTAAGCTTGGTATCTGTCAAGTTTGCTCCTTTCCTCTACTATTACTGCCTATTTGTATTCTGTTTCCATCCATTCTTGACAGAATAGTTTAAATAATGGCTCATATCCCCAGGGCTTAGAATAGTGGCTGATCCACAGTAATACCTTAATACTACTTAAAATAAAATTCTGAGCTGGGAAACAGACAAATCACTACATTAGTATGATGAGGTCTATGGAATGGGGGATCCTGTCACAGGAGGAAGAACTCAGTGAAGAGGACCCCAGAAGGATCACAGTAAAAATGACTTTGAGAAGTGTCTTACATTCAACAATAAAAATATTTCAGCACTTACTATATCCAAGGTACTATAGCAAACACAACAATGAAGAAAACAGAGGACTTACACAATGGAGCTCATGATCTCATGGGATAGAGTCTCACATGCCAATATTGTCTAATCAAAATGTATGTTTGGATGTCCAATATTCATCTCAAACTACAGAAAAGTAAACAACTGATTCCTCACCCATCACCATTACTCAATCACACATACAAAACACAATTCCTGGGACGCCTGGGTGGCTCAGTTGGTTAAGCCGCTGCCTTCGGCTCAGGTCATGATCCTGGGGTCCTGGGATCGAGTCCCGCATCAGGCTCCTTGCTCGGCAGGGAACCTGCTTCCTCCTCTCTCTCTGCCTGCCTCTCTGCCTGCTTGTGTGTACTCTCTCTCTCTGACAAATAAATAAAATCTTTAAAAAAAAAAAAAACAACACACTTCCTGGACAGTATTTACCATATCACTTAATGGCAACTCCATCTTATCATTTTCTCAGGACAAAAATATTGGTGTCATCTTTGACCTTTTTTCCCATAGTCCATATCCAATCCATCAGTAAATCCTGTCTCCACCTACAAAATGAATTGAGAACATGACCACTTCTCGTTCTGTCTCTGCAGTAGCCACATAACTAATTTCCCAGCTTCTTTTTTTTAAAGATTTTATTTATTATTTATTTGACAGAGAGAGAGATCACAAGTAGGCAGAGGGACAGGCAGAGAGAGGGGAAAGCAGGCTCCCAGCCGAGCAGTGAGCCCGATGTGGGGCTCGATCCCAGGACCCTGAGATCAAGACCTGAACCGAAGGCAGAGGCCTAACCCACTGAGCCACCCAGGTGCACCAATTTCCCAGCTTCTTTCTGAGACCGTATCTCAACATTCTGTTATCAACACAGAAGCTTGATAGTCCTCAAGGAGTGTCCTGGCAGGCTGTGGATGATTAGATAGATAGAGGGAGAGAGAGAGAAAGAGATAATAGATGATAGGTAGGTAAGTATAAAACCATGAGATTGGATAGGATCACCAAAGAAATGAGTATAAATGAAGGAGAGTTGTAGGACTGGGCTCAGAGACACTCTAACATTAACAAATTAGGGGCAGAGGGGAATGCGGGAATCAATAAGTAAAGACTGCAAAGTAGTAGCCAGTGAGGTAGGAAGAAAAGAAGTAGAGTATAATATACCAGAAGCCAAGGAAAAGAGTATTGCAAGAAGATAGTGAGAAACTGCATGAAAAGTTGCCAATCAGCCAAGTAAGTAGTGGAAATGAAGTGAGTAGTGGAAATGAAGGTGTGATTGGAGTGGATTCGAGAGAGAATGGAAGAGCAAGTGGTCATAGCAAGTATAAGCAACTGTTCCAAGGAATTCTGTCCCACAGACATGCAGAAAAATGAGGACATAGAGCAGGGTTTTTAAAGGTGGGAGACATAGTATGTTGAATGTTGATGGAAAAGACCCAATGGAGAGGAGTAAGTTGACAATGCAAGAGAACAAAGTAACAAAATAGGAGTGAGTCCCCCCAAAAAGGGGTTGGCCTTGACTAAGCATAGACGATGCACTGGTGATAAGTAAAGAGCAGGTGACATTAATGAGGGAGGACTTTGTATATCAAGAGAAAAAAGGTTCCCCCACAATTAAGAGAGTGGGGACAAAGATCTAGAAGGGAGAAAGGGAAGCTGGGAAAGGATC